GATGTAAATGTTTTGAGACAAGTGATACGACAGTTAAGGGTATATGATCTATTCTTTTTATTGTATGTTCATTAGTCACAATGGTTATTAATAATTAATCAGGTACACAATTATATTGGGAAACATTTTATTTTTTTTCTCTTATCATTAAACAGGATGAACTGCATCGAATGAAGGGAAACGGAAATCAAACAGGCCAAGTTGGAGCTTATTCCACAGGATGGAATGCCCGGAGAAGTTTGAATCTCCTGAAATTTAGCCTCAAGCAGCCAATTACGTTGCCTCACGTCGATAATGACACTGATGAAGAAATGGAAATCATTGAGGAAGAAACTGTTGATGAGGACACAGATGTTAATATAGAAGATGAGGCACTCAAACCAGTTGATGAGGATAAATATAATATCACCGATTGTGGGTTTACAGAAAGAATATCAGAGATAGAACTGCCAAATAGTGATTCTTGCGGACGCTACACTCAGGGGGAGTATATTCCTTCAATTCTTGAAAACTTGCCGAATGAAGATGTTGCAGCTCATAATCACTCTACTGTTCCAACTGACACGTTGCCAGTTCTGAAGTCTCCAACTCCCAGTGTTTCACCAAGGCTGAGCAATAGCAGGAAAAGTTGTTTCACATCAACAGAACATTTGGCTGCAGCTCTTCACCATGGTCTCGATGTTATAGGGAGCCTTCGTCATAGTGCAGCTTTGGGACGATCATCATTCAGATTCTCTTGCGTACCAGCTGGTGCTAAAGCAGTTGTACCAGTTGTGAAAGTTGATGCTGGTGTTCAAACTCTTTTCAGTGATGATGAGTCATCAGAGAAGGATTCAGGAGTATTTCTGTGTAGTAAATGCAAGACTAGAAATTCCCAGCAAGAGCTTATAGAAGAAAACAATGTGCAAAATATGCAGTTAGTGCCTGTCAACAAGTTACTATCGCATGAAAAATTGAAGAAAGTTCCCAAAGTATGTGCAGTGGTGGTCTCAAGTCGAATTTTCTAGATACTTTTTCTTTCACAATTCTTATGTGAAATTCATTGTTGTTCAGGAAGTTGAAAAGGTATTGGCTGGAGCTATTCGAAGAGAGATGGCACTAGAAGATATATGTGCAAAGCAAACTTCTGAGATCATGCAACTTAATCGTTTTGTAGGTTTATAAAACAATCAAGCAACTTCTAATTAAAATGCCAGTTAATTTTTTATGACCGACTTCTCTGATTTGAATAATAGGTCCAACAGTACAGGCACGAGAGAGAATGTAATGCTGTAATTGGTCAAACACGTGAAGATAAAATTGCTCGCCTTGAAAGCCTAATGGATGGTATTCTACCAACTGAAGAATTTATGGAGCATGAACTATTATCACTGACTCACGAGCATAAGGTGTTACACTGATTTACCTTTCTAAAGGTTGACTGGAAATGTATATATATTTTCCCCTCTAATCACAACGTCCTATATTTACAGATTCTTCAGGAAAAATATGATAATCATCCCGAAATTTTGAGAACAAAAATCGAGTTACAAAGAGTTAAAGATGAACTGGAAAGATATAAGAATTTCTTTGAACTGGGCGAAAGGGATGTCTTAACAGAAGAAATTCAAGACCTGAAAGGCCAGCTGCAGTTGTATCTGAATTCTTCATCCAAGACATCTGAAGGACCAGCTCCTCTTCTTCGATTAGCATATTCGTGTGAACCCAGTGTGGCTCCACCTTTGTCGTCTGCTCCAGAGGCAACTGAAGAGAGTGCTGGGGAGCTACTGCGGAAGGAGAGGAATCAGTGGATTGAAACTGAGAGCAAGTGGATTTCTCTTGTAGAAGAACTCAGGTTGGAGCTGGAATCTAACCAATCACTTGTACAAAAGCAAAAACAAGAACTGGATATGGAAAAGAAACATTCTGAAGAGTTAAAAGAAGCAATGCAAATGGCAATGGAAGGCCATGCCCGCATGCTTGAACAGTATGCTGATCTTGAAGTTAAACACATTCAACTGCTTGCACGACAACGCAAGATTAGAGAAGGAATCGATGATGTAAAGAAAGCGGCTGCTAAGGCTGGGGTTAGAGGTGCCGAATCTAAATTTATCAATGCCCTTGCGGCCGAAATTTCAGCTCTGAGAGTTGAACAAGAAAAGGAGAGGAGATATTTTAGGAATGAAAATAAAGGGCTTCAGGCTCAATTGAGGGATACAGCTGAGGCTGTTCAGGCGGCTGGCGAATTAGTTGTGCGGCTTAAAGAAGCAGAAGAAGCAGTGGCTGCAGCGGAGGTGAGTTTGGAATTCTGCGCTGATGTGAATTCTTGTTCTTTGTTGTTCCATTATATTATTGTTCTGGCATTTAGGCGAGGCCTTTTTACCTGCTTACCGTTATGTTTTTCTGCTAATAAGTTTAGAAATGTGTGATTTATTTCTTGTTCCATTGTATGAATATATCATCATCAGCATTTGCCTATCTCGTGGCACATATGCCCTTTGTTGAGTGTTGTGTGAGAGAGTAAGTGGTTTGTTTGCTTAGAGAAGTTCCGCAATAACTCGTTCTTTTTGGGCGCTGAGAAATCTTTATTTTGCTACTTTCTGCAGTTACTGTTTGTTCGAAAGACAAACTTATCCGTTCAATTTACATAGATGTCATTTACAACACTTTCTGAAAGAACTACATACATTTCATAAATTTGCAGAACCGGGCTATAGTGGCCGAGGAAGAGGCTGAAAGGGCCTACATGGAGAGAGACAGGTTGGTTCGGTTGCTTGCAGCAGACACTCGCACTCTAAATGAAGGATTTGCTGCTGGGGAGGGTAGACACGTTGATGGTAATCAGCAATGGCGAGAGGAATTTGCTCCCTCTTATGGCATAGAAGAAGATCCCAGTTCATGGTTTGCTGGATACGACCGTTGCAACATATAGATACAAATTTTCAGCTGGTTTGTTGCGTTTTAGCAGAAGCCATTGTTGTTTGTTACAAACAGATACACATAGCTAAGTATACTTCTTTCCCATCTTCTAATGATACAAACGATCGCACCAATTGTGTCAGGAGGCGACAACATTCATTTGTATTTAATTTGAGCTACATATTAAAACTACTGGCCTCCATCATCTTTTACATCCTCAAATTGATAAACTACTGATATATTTGGGTATCGGGTGTCACTAAACATATTTCCTCAGTTCATTCTTAATGCGCGCTTGCATCAGCACACCACATGCATTGTTTGGTATGTTGTAGATAGGGTGGACATATGGAAAGATCTACAAAACCAACATTGACGCTACTAGCTCAGTGCTTGTTTGATTGAACTTTATTTAAATTTTATCAACTTGTCAAATTTCAATTTTATCAAAACATTAATGGGATTCATAGCTTCTATTA